GTGGGTCTGCCTGCTGGCAGAGAGCTGTGCTGGGTGAAGGCTCTCTCTGTCTGTGAAACTGGGGTGAACAAAGAGAAGGATCAGCTTTTTTGGGAAGCACCACCAGGCCCCCATTCCTCACAGCACTGGCCGTGGCTTGGATGAATGCAAAGAAAGTGTTCTCTGCTTTGTGCAGAGAGAGGGAGGAATAGCTGGGTGCGGGTCATGTTGAACACATTTGACACTGGCTGTGTTTGCAAGGCAGTGCAGGAGCTCTCAGGACACTCCAGTGCCAGGAAAACATCGAGGATCTGTTTCTTCAACCGGTGCTTGTGTTCCATTCAGTACCTGTTCCTAAGAGCAGCACTCAGACTGCTGGTGGGACACAGGGCACTCACAGTGACACAGATCACTCCTGAGCTGGGAGAGGGAGCCGTGGAGTGGCCTAAGTGGAGCCTCTTGGCAAGGGCAGCCTGCTGGCTCAGGCTGAACTGCCCAAAATCTCAGTGGTGTGTGGGATGTGCAGGGAGATCCCTGCAGCCCCCAGGCCCATCGTGGAGCTGCCTAAGAACAGGGAAAAGGTTTCATGGACTCCTCCTCAGGCAGTGCTTGAATTTGATTGGAAACCATGGCTTCTCTGGTCTCTTGTCCTGCCTTCTCTCAGGTGGCTGGTGGACAGCAGACTGAATCATGGCAATGAGTAGAAAAATATTTTTATATATATATAAAATATATATACACATATATTAAAAAATGTAATATATAATATATTGAGATGAGTAGAAAAATATTTATATATATACATATATATAAATATAAAAATATATAATATATAAATATATATAAAACATATAAATATAAATAAATTAATAAATAAATATACATACACATATATCCATATCAAAAATACATTAAAAATAAATACTTAGGAACAAATTATATTACCATATAAATATGCTGAAAACAGGGAGAGAGAAGGAGCAAAAAATTACGGTCAGTATGACCAAATAGGCCAGAAAGCTTGGTTTGGCATATTAAATAAACTTCCTTAGAAGGATTGATTACTGGCATTTGTTGAAATTTGGTAAAAGCAGCTTGCCTTCAGGAGCTTTGGAACAGGTTTTAAAGTACTGAATTAGTGGAGTCAAGAAAATTTGTTCAGAAAAAACCCGCTTAAAACACATACTAAGATTCAGTGGTACTTGCTCTTGTTTTAGAGAATGGGATTTGTAATTTGAATGTGAGATGAGTGAGATTCCTAGGATTTGAAATGAAATACGGATTTGAACTGAAGTCTGTAAACATTCTTGAAAACAACAGAAAAGCTACTTCTCTGAGCAGAGTAGTAATTTGGGAATACATGAGGTCTTCTGAAACATGGAGAGTAACATTTAAGATCTCTTCTATCTGAAGTTGCTTTTCATTCTTGCTCAGCTGCTTCACTCAGACTTACAATTATGTATGGATATTGATTTTCTAGTTCTTTAATTACTGTTTTGAACCCACCAAAAGTTAAATGGATGGCGTGCCATATGCTAAACTCTCCATACAGGAAGAGTTTTCAAAAAATTACGTCTTAACAATCTAAAAATGTTATAAATATATCTTGGTGATGCTCAGATCTGGAACATTCCCATTATAGATACTTTATTTTTTTACATCCAGCGTCAGATGTTAGCAGCATAAAGGCTCTGGGTGACGGAGGAAGTGGTGGGAACACTTGTGTGATGTGCAGTCTTAGTCTTTTGGTTTGGAATTGGGTGAGTTCACCATGTTTCCATCAATGGAAAGAGCGCTGCATGGCTTGAGTTGTAAGTTCTCATTAGGCTAATTGCATCTCCCCATCTTTAAAATGTAGGAATGCAATTTCCACGTCACAGTTAGAGGAATTACTGTTTATTTCCTGGTAGTATTCTGATAAATGCTTGACTTGAACTACTTAAGTGGTTCTTTTCTGTGGAATTCAGTAGCTGCTTGTGGGATGTAGGAATGCCTTGTCCAATTAGAGCAGGAACTTCAGGCAAAGTGCACCAGGTTAGCAACATGAGTCAGACAGTAACCTTTTTTGTTTGTTAATGGAGTGACTGTATCATCAGGGTACAGATGAATATGTGCTCTAATTGTCTTGGCAGGGAGGGGGAAGCTCTGGCCTGTGTCATGTCTTTAGCAGAAATTACTGCAGCATTGTCATAAATTGATTGGAAATATTTTTTCTTCACATTACTCATGGGATGTCAACAAGTATGCAAATGTGAAAATTCAACATATGTCTGCTCGCTGCTTCTGCACGGTTTCTCACACCAGTTTAATGAGTAAAAACTGTCTTTTTTTAAAATGTCACTTCAAACTCCAGTCTTCTGGTGTTGAAGACCACCTCACTAATACTGTCTTAGTCTTGTGACAGGATGTGAAATAGTTCATTAATTTGTTCATTGTACACACTTGAACTGTAGCTTGGCTTTTGTCTTTTCTGTTCCTCGCCTGTGGTTACAGTTTGTAATTTTGGTATTCCTCCTTGTTAAACAGTGTTGCACCTTTTTGGGCGTCTCTGCTGTCTTTCCCCAGAGCATCAGTTTCCCGTTGATCCTTCCTTGTGACACAGTGAATCCTTAGTATGTCTCTTTTGATCTCTTCGGTGAATGCATTTATTTCCGAATGAACCCATAGCATTGTTACGTTCTGTAAAGGCTTCCTGAGAGCTCAATAACAAGGGCTGGGGCAGCTATGCAGACCTAGGAGGACCCCACGGGGTTATTCTGTGCTGTGCTCCTGTCCCACATCTGTTGGTGAGAGGTGGCCCCAGCCCTCCTGGCACAACCCTTGGCAGTCTGGGCTTTACCACAGCTGGATCAACCCGGAAGCCTGAAGCCTTCTCCTGAAATGTGCCACATTTACCCTCCACACACTCATTAAAAACACCATTTCATTGCACTGCTGGTTTGTTTAGCCCAAGAGGTAACAGCATTTACACAGAGGTTAGCAGCTAGCACCGTGCTTAATTTGCACATTCTGTGTGTTTAGGTGAAAAGTTTTAGGGTGGTCTTGTTGCAATGCTGAAATACCTCGTGTTTTTGGAGCGGTGACAGTGGGGACAGGCAGGGATGTTGGGCTGTGCAGGAGCACTCTGAGGGCACCCCAGAGTCCTGAGAGGAGGCACAAACCTCTGTGGGTATTAAAGCCTTGTGCTGTCAGTGTGGGCATCGATGTGCCCTGTGTGCCAAAGCTTTCAGTCGGCGGCAGAGCCCTGGGGGTGCTGTAACCCCCGCAGCAAAGCCAGGGTTTGTGCTGCTCCGCCTTCCTTCACGGGGCAGGAAGGATGTGATCACACAAACCCTTTTATCTGGACTGCAGGCTTCATGTTTGGATAAGAACAAAAAAGGGACTCTCATAAGACAAATGAGGTGCTTTAAAGCATTACTGGGTATTCAGGATGTATGGGCTGTGGCAGAAAAGTGTTTCTTCTCCTATGTCTCTTACATCTGTCTTAGATTTAGTCTACAACATTTATTGCTTAAAATTTGCATGGTAGTTGAACTGGGAAGAATTAAGTCAACTCTTAAGAAATCCTCTCTCCCCACAGTACTTAGAGAGTTCAAACTAAAACCACCACTCATATGTTTGAATTATATATATTTAATTTGAGAAAAAAGTACATCTTTGCTTTTGAAGTTGGACAGAGAGTAAAGTAATATGTGTATGTATTGCATGTACAAAGTACAAACAACTAGTGAAAACCATTTTTGGGGAAGGTCTCTCTGAGATTTTAAAATTTCACACTTGATAGGTCATGGCAATAATTACTGCTCCAGCAGAGCCTTGATGACAATGATCACACAGAACATGGCATAGGGTTTTGAAGAGGAGGACAGATCCTCTCCCTCTCTTCTTTGTGTGGCCGTCTACAAGTTTTTGGAAATGAATAGGGAGAATAGTCAAAATAAGAATTGCTGTGTATTACTACATGCATTCAAATATATTTAACTTCTTAAGAACAGTGCAGGTAGTGAATATAAGAGACCTTCTCCTTCTCCTTCTCCTTCTCCTTCTTTCCTTCTCCTTCTCCTTCTCCTTCTTTCCTTCTCCTTCTCCTTCTCCTTCTCCTTCTCCTTCTCCTTCTCCTTCTCCTTCTCCTTCTCCTTCTCCTTCTCCTTCTCCTTCTTTCCTTCTCCTTCTCCTTCTCCTTCTCCTTCTCCTTCTCCTTCTCCTTCTCCTTCTCCTTCTCCTTCTCCTTCTCCTTCTCCTTCTCCTTCTCCTCCTCCTCCTCCTCCTCCTCCTCCTCCTCCTCCTCCTCCTCCTCCTCCTCCTCCTCCTCCTCCTCCTCCTCCTCCTCCTCCTCCTCCTCCTCCTCCTCCTCCTCCTCCTCCTTTTCCTTCTGGACAGCCTGGAGGCTTGCAGACAGACAAACAGGAAGCTCTGGGGAATCATCTGGAGCTGTGGCAGTAATTTGTAGCTCTGCTGCCACCAGAGCCCAGGTCTGGATGAATTTCAGGATCTGTTTTCCCTTTGCTGCAGAGCTGTGGTTGTTTGGCCATGGACCTAGGCTGCCATCGCTTCTCCTAATGCAGCCTGAAGTTTCCATGTTTTTTGGAAAAACCACAGGGCTATTTTTCAAGAGTGCTAACAGCTTGACACATTCCACATGCTAAAAAAGCTGACCTGGAAAAGCAATCAGTGACGCTGTATGAATATATTGTATTTACAGTAAGCATGCTCACCCAGAGCAGCACTGGGTCACTGGTTAGCTCACTAGGCACTTGTCCAAATATTAAAAATGTTGACATTAAGTAATTTGGGGGCTTAATAATGTTTTAATTAATGACTATTTAAACACCTCTGGTCAGATTGACCTGCATGTCTAGTTGAAAAATTCTGGTAGAGGTAATAGATTTGGCACTTCATTACTTTGTGGTTTGTGGAAGGCAGTGGGGCATATCTCAAACTTGTGATAATCCTTTATTTCTGAAAAAGAGGAGCAAACAAATGCACAGTACTAAATATTGTCCTTTCTGTTTATTTTTCAGATTAGCACTGTACGTATATGAATATCTGCTCCATGTAGGAGCACAGAAATCAGCTCAGACATTTTTATCAGAGGTGAGTTTTTTACATGACTTCCGAGGGCCTGCAAGTGAGATAAATATGATTTGGTCTAAAATAAGAGCAGTGAAAACCTTGGGTATTGGTTTGCCTCAATCCGCTGTTCCTTATCCTCCAGAACCCAGTTTGCCATGTCATTTTACAAGATCTTGTGTGACTGTTTTTGCTTGGTTTGTAATCCCCATTCTACACTGGGGAAGATTAATCTATTTTCTCTAATAAGTGGGCATGCTGGAGAACACTTCAATGGTACTCAGTTTTGATGACCTTTTAACTTACTATTGATATCTCCAATTGTGAATGATGGGCCCTTCTAAATGTATTTTACATCCCACTGTCATACACTATCAGTTTTCCTTCTCTGAAGCACTGCTGATCTCTCTGTGCTCTCACCATGCTTTTAACCACTTCACTTCTTTTCATCTGTTGAATCAATGAGGGCCACAACCACTTAGGTCCTGCTTTTTTAAACACTTTCAACTGCTAATGGAATTTTTACCTTTACACAGTAGTTTTGGGGGTTTTTTTAAGACTCTTTTCAAAGGCTTTGTATGCATCTTGTGAAGGTTGAAGTAAATTGTGTCTCATCAGCATTTTACTTTTGCCCTAGGATACAAATGTATGCTGAACACATTGAAGTCTTCTGGGTTTATTATGGTTTTTAATCTTTGACAAGAACATACAAGATAATAGCAACAACAACAACAATATCAATAACTAATAATAATAACAATAGCATAGTAGTAGTAATAATAGGAATAGTGAGCAGAAGTTGGGAAAAAATAGGCAAGATATTGTCCTAGGAAAATTTGCTGCTTTAACTGATCCTCCTCCAAAAGCTAATGAAATTATTATGCTGATGATGACATTTTGGAGATGGAAGAGGGGAAAATGAAAATCCAGAGAGTTGTTTGCGATACTCACACAAAACTGACAAAGCACAGATAAGGAAAAAGGGTAGAATTGTAGTAGGATTGGTTTACATTTATAATAAAGCATGTTTTTGACAATTGTTTTATCTCTGTGGTAAAACATTGGAAAAATAAGAGAAAATAATGTAGAGTATCATCTTGGCTTTTCCAAGACAGCTGTCATTTGTAAATAATGCATTGCACAAGGTAAATTTTGCTCACTTTGTTTTTATGATGTTTTTTCAAAATGAACAGTTGGCAGAAGCATAGCTGGTATGGCATCTGGATTTCCTGAAAACATTAAATACCGTGTCTTGAAACTCAGCTTTTAGAACTAATTTAGTCTTGAGTTACAGAGGAGCTCTCAGGTCTGAACACTGAAACATAAGGATATATCAAATCTTCAAAAGTAAGACTTGTACTCATCAAGAGGTGGTAAACACAGGTCAGGGACAATGAGTAGTGCACAGAGTGGGTATGAGGTAGGAGCTGTGGGTTTATTTCCCTCACTAATTAGCAGTGCAGGAGGGTAGATGTGCTGGCAGTTCTTGTGAATGTTCTGTGACTGCTGGGCTGGATGCTCTCTCAGTTTGGGTGGGTTTCATTTTTAAGTTAAACAGTTGAGATTAACTCTAAAGCTGAGTGTTGGGGCTTAAAAGAAGAACACACACAGATTGTCTGAGCTGTAGGGCAGCCAGTGGTGTCTAAAGGTTAAGAGCCCTCTCTCACGGATCTGCCAGGGACTGTGACTCAGAGGAATGGAGCCACGTTAAAGGAAAATAGAAGTTGGACATCCATGAATCCACTGTGATACTCTGTAACTTAGGGATCGTTGTCCTGAGCATCCCCGTGTTTTTGTCATGCTTTTGTGTCTAGTTTGACTTTTGTATGCTTCTCTTGAAGACCTGATCCTTATCCCACATATTTTCTATCCTGGAAATCAGATTCCAGCCTCAGATAATTCCATTACCCTGGCTGGACCTGGTTGGTGGGCATTTCCCAGTTAATCATTCCCTGGCTATGAGCTCAGTCACACTTGACAATGAAGATTTTTTTTTTTCATAAATAATAATTCTTCATAAGTCCCATTGATCAGACAGACTGCATCTGCTATGTTAGACACTAGTATGGGTATTTAAAACAAAACAAAACACAAATCCTTTAAGAGGGTCCCAAACTTCCACATTCCCTTCAGTTTCCTCCTCCCAGTCAGTTTCTCAAGATGACATATGTCCAGGAGCCACTAAAGACCTGAACTGGGGAATTTCCTCACTAGGCCCTGCTTTGAAGAAAACAATCACTGCTTAAACGTAATGTGGGTGTTCTTCACAGACACAATTTTTACTGCTAAGCGAATGAAAGTTCTGCTTCAGGAACCCCTTTTTCATGCTGGTTGTACAATGCATCTCTTCATTATGTGATTCTGAACCTTCTCAGAGGTACTGTGTGTTCCTGATTATTAGTACAAGTCTTTCCAAGACATTCCCAGGCTGCATGAGGAGCAGCTGTGCCTCTGAGAAGTGTATTTGAAGAGTGTGTAATACCTTTGTAGTGACTTTGGCTTCCAAATATTCGTCACTTTTTCCTGCCAGCACTTAAGGAACTTTAGGCACTTAAACACTTCAGGAACTTTGTGAAATATGTTTTTTGTGTATTAGCTGCTGTGTGAGGGATGTTGGTTTTCATTCTGCCAGCTTTACCAACTCAAGTGATAGTGGCTCAGTGTTACCTTTTATAGACAATTTAAAATAGCATGGTTATTTCTGAAGAGTTGTGTTCAAATAATATGTCAAATTTGCATTAGGTTTGAGATTTTCTATATGGATTTTCATGTAAGTACAAACAACATTTTTAGGCATATGAGCTACATATTCTGTATTGACAAAACTTGCATGTGTTTGAATTTCCTAAGAACTGGATGTGGAAATCAAGTGAGAGTTGAGAATCTTAAAGTCTCTTTAAAAAATGCCAGCTTTAGGAAGGACCCTGGCAGTATGAATACTACCTTTAATATTATGCTTTTATGTTTTTTTACATATTTGTATATAGATCTGTCACTTTAAATTTCTTTCATATTAAGGCTGTTTAAGCATTTGATTAAAATAACCCTTTTCTTGTCTGCCAGTCCTTCTGTCTCTAGAGAAGAATATGGTTTGTGCTTTTAACAACTCCTTTTTTAAGAGAGTTGGACAGGAAATTATGCTGTGTGTCATTGTAAGTAGAGGAGTTTGCAGTGCACACAATGCAAAGTGTGCACCAAAGATTCACCAAGTTCTAACATGAGACATTCTTTGGACAGTGTGGGCTCTGTGATAGCCCAAACTATTTACTTTTGGAGATAAGGACAAGCTACTGACTGGCATTGAAAAGATGCTTGTGTGATTATAGTTAAGGTACAACATTTGGGAAGTTTTGCAGAGAAACAGATGCTGTTGCTCTGGGTGGCGTTGTCTGATGGGTTCCCTGATCAACAACAAAAGTTTGAATTCAGGAGCCGAGAGTTCTTAAACTGCATTTCCTGTGAAATAACAGAGCCTCAAACAGAGCCAGTTTCCTTGGTGGGAGGGAAGTGCCAGGCAGTAGAGGTGTTGAGGAGAGCTTGCCAGCACAGGAGAGCAAGCCAGAGTAGCTGTGCACGTTCCCTGGCTGGTGGGAGCTGGGTTATGGCAGTGGTGCTGCCTGGCTTTTGCCACATTACCTGTGGCTGAAGCTCTCCTCGAGCATTATAAAACACTGCTGGCCCTGGCTGCGGGGGGAAGAGTGCCACCTGCTGAATCCACAGCATCACTCCTGTGCAAATGGGAAAAGATTTCAGGTCTTAAGGGTACTTCAAAATCACTTTTTTAATCATGCGTTTTTGAACTTAATACACAATATATTCAGAATTTAAAAAAAACCCAAAGAATAAAATTCTAAACTATGCTTCCCTAGCACAAGAGGAGCTAATTTAATGTATCAGCTATATCAATAAATATAGAAAAGTAAGTAAACAGCGCATCCAAATTGATGACCATAAAGTGTCTCTTAAGTGTGGAATCTTCTGTTCCTCATCCTTCTTCTATGTGAATTCTGTAGTGCTTTTTAGTCACAATGATCACAATGTACACCTCTGTTTTTATCATTTTATTTTAGATAAGATGGGAAAAAAACATCACACTGGGGGAGCCCCCAGGATTCTTGCATTCCTGGTGGTGGTAAGTACCAGTTTTCTTCTCCTCTGGTTTTCCTAGAATATGTTGATGTCCAGTTTCAGCTGCAGGAGGCAAGAAATTCGGATGAACAGTGTAAAAAAAATAAGAGGATCAGGATTAAGAAGCATTCTCTTATTAAGGAATAAAATAACAGAAAATTAGGTACAGAAAAGGAAGTAACAGAAAAAGATACTGGATATTGGATACAGAAAGAAAGAAATACTGCATAGCACACTGATAAGAAAGGAGGTGGCCTGGCTTTCCTTCTTCACCACCTTCCAGCACATTTTGCAGCTAATGGGTCATTCCACATATCATAAATACTTACATTTGGAAAGAAAACACAGTAAATACAGAGACTGTGTAGATGTGAACTTGCTCAGTCTGCAGTCCACAGCTGTGTGTGTAGAATTCCCCAGGGGAGAAGAGTGCTCATAGGCAGTGCTGTGTAGCCGTGCTATTTATTCATTATTTTAGTATATCCAACAAGCCTGTGTTTGAAGAAATGCAGAAGTGCAGAGAATATGCCCAGCTGTCAGAAGTACAAGAATTCACAGGTTTTGAAATGGCCCCATTTGAACCAAAGTGATTTGCACAGCTGCATGGGAAGTGGGGTATCCTTTTTTGACCATTCTTTGACAGCTCTTGCTGTGTGATGGAAGCCTGGCAAGAACATGTCCCTTTTATCTCTAATGTCTGCATTATCCTTAATTTTGATTGTCTGCAGCAGAGTGCTCAAATTGTCCATAAATCCCTAATATGGTGCTGGATTAAGTTATAGAGGAGTAAGTCTAAACCAGTAAAAAACCGCTATGAAACTCCCAACAAATTTTATTACTCAAATATGTTATTAACTCATTCCAGCATAGACACAGTTTCATTCCAGAAACTTTGTGGTAGAACTGATTGGTATGTAACTATAGCTGAAGGAGTTTGTGGGGAAGACCAACGGGATTATGTGCCATAATACCCTTCCTTTTATTCTTTATGACCTAAGAAGATGCCCATGCATTTTTTGTGCTTGCTCAGGCACCAGATCCTCAGGGAGCTTTGATTTAAGCACAGGACTGGACATTTGTCCATGGAAGCTGTGGCTGCCCCATCCCTGGAAGTGCCCAAGGCTAGGGTGGACAGGGCTCAGAGTAACCTGGGATAGTGGAAGGTGTTGGAGACTGGATGGGCTCTAAAATCCTTCCAATCCAAATTGTTCTGTAAGTTCAGGAACCTTGACCATGGGAGGATTCCCAGTTATCTTTCCAGTTTCTTTCCTTTCCATATTATTATGAATTCATTCCTTCCCATGCTTTGTGGAAGTCGTTTGAGCAGTTGCTGGAGGGATAAGATTAAATGCACAGTAATACACATTGTATTTGTATTTATTACCCCAGATTCTTGGTCTGTAGTGCAGTGGTGCTAAAGGAGTACAGCACTGCTTGCCTCAGAGATCAGATGGCAGGACTTGTTCCTCACAGATGATTTACAAATCTAAATTCTTCTGTAGAGGGGAGTGTTCTCATTCTTTGGAGAGAAAGTGGCATTTCTGTATAGGAACATCCATGTGGGGTTTGTGTATGCCATAAAATGCACGTGAGCATCACAGTGACACTCTCACCATCCCTGTAACCTCTCCCTTGCAGTGTGTTCTGGGATCTCTACTGTGCAGCTCCAGAAAGACGAGAAACATGTGAACACTCAAGTGAAGCAAAAGCCTTTCATGACTACGTAAGTTTTGTGTGTCTTTACCATGGCTTCCTTAACTGCATGTATAAATGTGATAGAGAAGTATTTTGCACTGCAGTGGCTCAAAAACACAGGTGCTGTTCATATGTAACTCTCAGTTTCCTAGGGATACCTTAGAATTAGGAGTTTCTAATTCTTTAATTGCCAGCACAATATGGGTGACTCCTGGAAGCTGTCTCAGAGATCAAGGTGCTGTCCCATGTGTTAATGCAGAATAAAGAGTGTCCTTCTGCCCCCCATGCCGTGGACACATGAGGCTGGTCACAAAGGCACAGGACAGATGGAAACATGGATCTGACCTGCCCAAATATCTGTGCTCTGTCAGTGCTAAAGAAAAGACTGTTCTGTAGATGGAATTGTTCTCTGGCTTCCGTCAGGACCACCCTGGCTGAACCACTGGGGTGGTTCATACGCTTTTGTATCCTGAAATAACCTGGAGATTTCTCACCCTAATAAACAATCAAGAGACATAGAATAAGTTAAATGCAAAATCAGCTGGTCAAAGACAACAGGAGGAATAAAGGATAGAAGTTTCATGACAGTTTTGCTGCCTTTGGGACTTCGTTCAAAACATGACAGGGGAGTCTTGAGTGAAAGTAGCTCTCACAATACAACTGTGAAAACTCTCCTTGAGTCTTTTCCAGGTCTGTCTCACAAGTAGTGTCTAGTTACTGCCAAAAAGTATTTCTATGGATAAAACTGACATTAGACTGCCCTATCCCAGTGTCTTATAAACACACTTTGGGAACAACAGAAATGATTCAGCAAAGTGACCATTTTGCATTTTCTGTTGTCAAAATCTGGTAATGGCTTGGCATCCTACAACGTGTGAGCTAATGGTGATCTTGCCTTGTTGTTTATTTGCAGTAAACACCACCTTAGACTCTGAATGCACCATCAGCACAGTCAGAGATATCCAGCTTCTTTCACCAATGTCTCTTTAACACCCTGTAGTGGTGATTAAATTGTGAGGGTGACTGGTTAAGGAGCTTGGACAATGTTGCACAGTCATGTCCTGGCTACGCTGACCACTACACATAATTAATGAAAGAAATAATTATCAGAGAAAGGAACAAAGTTTTAGCGACATTTTGTACCCACAGAGTTGTTAAGGTCAGCCAATTTAGTAAGGTACATTCCTCAAATTAAAAATGAGGTATCTCTTGCAAGAACAGTAGTTGTGGTCATTTTGTCCTAATCTGTTGTAAATAAAAAGTTGCTGGAAAAAGAAAAGACTTAGCTATTAGTATTAGCTACTTAGTATTGTGTTTCCTTGTTATTAGAGGAAGGTTTAATTCCCCACTGAAGGAGCAGTTGTTTACAGGAATAGTGTAAGACTGTGAGGAATGACATTAGAGATTTAAATCTGGGCAGATCCAAAGCACAACAGTTGACTTCAGTGGGGGACATTGTGTTCTCAAAATTAAGTGTATGTAACAAAAGCCAAAAATCCGAAAAATGTAAATATTGTTATGAAACAAAATTGTGAAACAGAACGATCAGCAAGAGGAAATTTTCAGTGAAAAAGTATTTGGAGTCTAAAAGGAGTCCACAAACCTTTAAGCTCAGGAGAGTTTAACTGATTAGTAAGTCCACTATTGAGTCTAAATTTAGAGGTGTACTAGGAATTTGAGTAGGTGAATTAAAGTAGTTAGAAACCTCCTTTGGCATGTTCCATTAGCATTTCTACAGGCCTTGGAATATTACATGACCTTATTGCTCATTTATGATGTGTATTGTCATAATTCAGGAAAAGTGAGAAACTGCAAGTTCGGTGTGTCCTACAATTCTGTGATTGAATATTTAACTTACTGTATAAAGTCATGCTTGATGAAGAAAAGATAAAATTGTGGTATGATTCTATTTGCACATCAAGACAGGATGAACATTTATTTTAGAAACAATTTGGTTTACTTCAGAAATTAATTTGCCTGGTGTTTGTAAAACCAATTCTCTCAATATTTTAAGGTGGCAGGAAAAGCTCTGCATTGTTTTTGTCACAGTTGGGATAAAGTAATTTGATCCCTCACAAGTCTCACCATGCTCCTTGTTATCACTTAGGTTTTGCTTAGGACAGTCTTCATCATGGTTTTTGTGTCTGGTGTATTAAGGTAGCATTGTAAGCTCATGTCAAAAAACAAGAGGGTGGTATTAGGATATAGCCAAGCAGATCTCACAGCAGAGGAAGATGAACATGCAGGGAGTGAAATCCTGATCCACACAGTGTCTTGCCATTGTGGAGAGGTCAAAATCCCACCATCAGTGGGAGCTGCCGGAATCTTCCTCCTGCCGAGGCTGCCGGGGATGGTAAATCAAAACTCTGCTGCTACATTGCAGGTCAAGTAGTAGAGCATTTGTAGCTGTGCTGTCGTATCTGAAAACTGTTATTGTACGTACAAAACAGCACAGAAGGCTTGTTTATTAATTCATGCGAGCAATTCAGAATTTTTTATTAGGCATGTGTTCCACTTGACCTAAGAAAAACCGTTCCTGCTGAAGGGGTGCGTGGTCTGGCTGCTGCAGACATGGCAGCTGTAGCTGAGTGGGCTGTGTTTGGAGAGGAAATAATCTTGTCTTTGCTTTTGTGGAGAGAGAAAGGCTTAGGAATGCTTGATGGAGGAGGAAAGCACTTGCAGATGATTTAATGATTTGGAAATATTGCTGCCTCACTCGACATAGCTGCGAGTCAGGCAGGAACACACAGGTTGACTCATGAAATGAATGCGCAGAAAGACTGAGTTTCTTCAGGTTTACTTACAAGCTTTACATTATATGAACTGCAACTGTAAGATTAATGCTGTTTGAGTTGCCTCCCCCTTCAGAGAGTGTGTTGTGGCTTGCAGCAGTACAATGCTCATCTTACTAAAAATACACTAAATAGAAAGGTAAAGCCCAATTCTGGCTTTATAGAGAAGATTTTCCATGCTCATCCTGAGTTTAAGTATTTGCAGCTTTCCCCGTATTTAGAATGGATTTTATGTTTATTTTCTGTCAAGATTTGCCACTGGATATGTTTTCTTCTGAGTGAACAGGGTTCTGAACTGATTAGGTACATTTTTATCATTTTTTTAGGCTTGAAAAGATGCATGTCATGAATGTGCATGTGCTGGATCAGGGAGACAGCTCCTGGGCTGGAAGTTTTAAGATATATCATGTAGAATTGGAAATTGTTTCAGGTGACTCAGGAAAGAAAACTGTTGCTTGCTCACCCAGCCCGTTAATACTGCAGGCATTTCAGTGGGAGTAGCTTCATTTGAAGCAGAAAAATCCCCGTGATTTTTTTCCAGGTACCTGTTACTTTACTTTTTCCTGGAGGAAAACTTCTGCACACTTTGAAGTCTTGTGAGAAATCATGTACATGGATGGTCTGAGGCAGAATTCAGTCTTCAGTGTAGAATGGTTTGTGTTTCTTCATAATGTCCTGAGGAGATTTCTTCACCTCTCTAGTTAAGAGCTCTTTTTCCACATTTTGAGATCTTCTCCTGAGAGAAGCAAGTTCCAACATACATCTCTTTCCACTTCTTTCCAAGCTGAAAACTGTGTCCAAAAGGGGAAATTAAAACTGGTTTTTTAGCAGTACCCCATCTTCTGATGGCCACAAATGACCGTCCCGCTCTTCCTCAGGCCTGGCCATTCATCCCCATCTCTGGGTTGAAAGGGGTGGTACCTGAAAATCCTTTTTTACAAGATGATTTCTGTACATAGCAGTTAAGATATTTTTACTCTCCAGAAATTTCTGTGCTCCTGTTATCTCACACTCCTGGCACTGGAAGTTTTTCCATGTGGTGCTGGTGCAAAGAAGGCGTACACTGTTTCTCACATGTAGCTGTATTAAAATCTTGATTATTTTCCAGTTAAGGTTTGATTAGTTCTCCCCAGCTCTTTGAAAGATCACTTCTGCTGTGGGCAAAGGTGTCTGGTGTGTGTTTGTGTCTGCCTGAAGAATTCCAGATAATGCACAGGGTAACAAACCAGAGACACTCCTTGCTCCAGAGACTGAAATGAGCTAGGCCCACATCCTCTCTGCCCTGTTGGCACAGTTCAGTGCTGAGCTCTGTGACAGAGGGCTGTAGAGTGTACCAAAGACAATGCTGTCACTGGTTTTGTCCAGATTATTCCTTTTAAAGGTCATGAGTAGAGAAATAAAATTTTCCTAGAAGTTACTGAGCAGAGTGTTTGGACATTTGAGGTGGCTGCTCAGTCTCTGTGCACCTCTCTTCAGAAAAGTTGGGTCTCTGCATTTATTTCTAGGTTTTATGGGGAGAGAAATTACTACTTTATTCTCTGCACCCATCTCCCTTCAGCAGAACTAAGAGGCACTTGCACACCCTAAATGCCCCAAGTCTCCTTAATTAATCATTATCAATACTCAGTATTTGAGGAGTTGTGAATACTTTTATGTCTGTTTTGGACTACAGATTTCCATGAAAAGCCCATGAGACTGTTCTCCCAAAAGCAGTTTGGGAGAAAACTGTTTTGTTTCTGGTTTCATTAAACTGCTGTCCTCCTTCTCTGCCTTTGGTGCATCAGAGATGGAGGAACTTGTTTTCATTCTTGATTGCCTGACCCATCTCTTGATACTGCGACCTTCTGCAGGCAGCCTAGCTAGGGCAGCTTTTGCTTCTAGCTTTATTGCTGAAAATGGAATTCTAGGTCTGGTTTCCAGCTGTCAGTTTCTGTGGAGAATGCATTTTAAACTCCTTCTGCTTAAAACAGAAATTAAGGAAAAAAACTCCCGACCATCCTTATCCTCCAATAGAAGGATTGGAGGATAAAAAAAAGACAAGTTATCCTGCTTTGCTCCAGGGCTTTTGTTCCAGAGGCTGCAGATCTGAGTTACCTGTTAGTTCCTTACCTGAGTTCCACAAAGTTCTGGAAGGCCCTTTGTTTATTTACTGATCATCACTAAGTCAGTGATTTCACCCTCAGAATACGTTCTTCAGACAATTGATTTGTCTACTCTGTAAGATAGTTCCTGTGTC